GTTAAGATAGTAATAAGTCACAAGTTAAGATAGTAATAAGTCACAAGTTAAGATAGTAATAAGTCACAAGTTAAGATAGTAATAAGTCACAGGTTAAGATAGTTTAAGTCACAGGTTAAGATAGTAATAAGTCACAAGTTAAGATAGTAATAAGTCACAGGTTAAGATAGTTTAAGTCGCAGGTTAAGATAGTAATAAGTCACAGGTTAAGATAGTAATAAGTCACAAGTTAAGATAGTAATAAGTCACAAGTTAAGATAGTAATAAGTCACAAGTTAAGATAGTAATAAGTCACAAGTTAAGATAGTAATAAGCCACAGGTTAAGATAGTTTAAGTCACAGGTTAAGATAGTTTAAGTCACAGGTTAAGAGATTGTACTTTTTGATGAAAACCTTTAAATATAGTCAGAAACTAAATATTTCCCTATTTTGTATCTTCGATGTCTTAGGTCGTATTTATATATATTACCTCGGATAGCTTTGTATTTAAACTAGGGATGCACGGGTAGTAAAATTTGGGGTTCGGTTACCCGGTCACTAAGCTTCGGCCGGGGCTAGGTGTCAACCGGGACCAGGTTCTTCACTTGCCGTACTCAAAAATTAGAAACAAAAACAAAATGGACGTTTATTACATTTAACCGAATAGTCACCAACAGAACATTCAAATATTACTTTCAACTTTCAGTGCCTAGCCCCAACTTCTCAAACCCTAACCCATATTGTTCGCAAAAGCCTCACCTTCTCCAGAAATCCACTTCTCAAGCCATGACTGTTATTAACCCCTATTGTTCTCTGAATCCCGATAGTTGTTCTGTTGCTCCGAACACGTTTTTTCATAACTGAACCAATTATTGACTGTAACTTTCATTACCAAGATTGGTGGCCACAAAGATTAGGGCTTATATGGCTGACTCCGACACTCGGCCAGAGCCGAGTATTACCGGGTAGGCCAATACACGGCCGGGTACTCGTGTATCCCTAATTTAAACCACTAGTTTTTAAAAGTTATGTGAATCTAAACAGAACCCAGCAAATGCTGATAGATAGAAAGTCTTTGCAGTTGTGTTTTTCGACAAAAGTATAGACAAATAAATATGTATGAGAACTAAGTGTTATCAAAGCGATTGAGTTTTCTAGACTTCTGTTTTCGACTTTTGGAAACTTCATTAGAAAACATATAATGAACAAAATGATATCAAACACTGACTTGTTGACTCAGATCAAAATGCAATATAAACGTTCCCTTTAGAAAAACTTTATGATTGAAAATAAATGTCAGACATCAGCAAATGATACTGAAAAATGTAATACGTTTCATTTCCACGAGCGGTTCATGAATATTTAGGAAAACATTAATTTTCTATAAAACAAACACACCCATGTTTTAAATATATCTCCCAAAAACTCTCTTATAAAACTGACAAACACACCTGAAAATACTCTCTTATAAAACTGACAAACACACCTGAAAATACTCTCTTATAAAACTGACAAACACACCTGAAAATACTTTCATATAAAACTGACAAACACACCTGAAAATACTTTCATATAAAACTGACAAACACACCTGAAAATACTTTCATATAAAACTGACAAACACACCTGAAAATACTTTCATATAAAACTGACAAAAACATTCATGCATGATGCGACATAAAAACACATTCCTATAAAAACACGCAGAAAAAGTATATGTGTTAAACAAACCCATTTATTATATTACTAGAAAAAATATTGCTGTCAAAATCACAAGCACGTATTCTATGATCTGGAAAAACATTCTCAAAAAATTGGCAAATACGCTAGTATTTTTACTACATTAAAATACATTCTTATGAAACGTATAAACAAATACCTATATGTTCAACGTGTTCTATTATACGAAAATACATCATTAGAAAAGTTTAATACGCCCATGTGCAATACATCACAAGAAAATACATTGTTATAAAAACTGACAAATACGCCTGTGTGTTATGTTACCTTATAAGGCATTTCTACAAAATTGAAACGTACATTTATGTGCTATGTGCAAAACATCGGTCAACATAAAAGTATTGGCAACTTTAAATAAAAACATTTCGGTCATGTTACACTATTAGATGACAATGTATATTTAAAGCTGTCAGTTCAATTAATTTTTAAATTAATCGCACATTATAAACAAGCAATTTTGTTTACTATTTGACGACTGATACCGTAGATTATAATAGCTATTTTCTACCTCACAGCTACGTACTTAAAAATGTAAAAGTACACACCTTATAATTCTTTTTTCTTCTTCTATTTTTATTAGAGGAAGAAGAGAAAGAATATAAACCCGTAGCTATAAACAAATGTTTCATGAAAATAAAAATTGAATAACACAGAATACGTACGAGTCACTGTGGTCTCGAAAATATCACTTTAAACCTGTATTATTTTGGTAGGAGTAGAAAAACTAGCTGACAAAGAAAGAAAACTTGACAATAGTGAACGGTAGAATTCGAACGTGCCATGTTTCGACATCCCTTAGGAGCTAATAAGTGTTAAAATGGAAACCTGTTATTGTCTCCATCTGGTTTCTCGTTATTTAGATCAGCGGAATATTTATACTTTCATTGAAAGTTTAAAGGATTCTAAATTAAGACTTATACCATAGTTTTTTAGCTTACTATTCAATGTTCAACAGCTAATATAACTTTTATTCCCACCTTAACTTCTTTTTCAGCATGTATATTTTAAAGCTTTGTCGTTTATATTGTATTGTCTCCTTTAGTTCAGTTAGGAACTGTATGTTTGGTTGGATAATTATCAGTTCTGCCGGATATATATTTTTTGCACATGAATTAATGACACATTTGCTTTCAAGTAATATAATACATTTTTTTGCATGTACAGTGTGTAATAGTCGTTCCTGGTAGTAGAGAGTCTTGTCTGGGCCAATCTCCGGTCGTGTTGTGCGCGACCTGGGAGTGTCAGGTACTATCTCGACCTCTTCCTCTCTCCTTTACGGTTTGTTTATTTAACTGTCAAATGCTATACGATTAGAAATTAGAGCCTTTTGAAGAACTGAAATATATATATTATTGACTCAATACCCGACCTTTGGAAAGTAACTACATAACACATAAAATAAATATATATTACCTGATCTTTAAGAAACCATAAAGAAAAACCTAGATTATTCACTGAAGAACTTGTCTTTTAAGATTAGAGAAAATGCATCTTGTCGAACTACTCTACAAAATCGGGGACCTGTTTTAAAGCAGACTTTTCCTCCTTGTGTTCTTGTTGATGTGGCATTATCGGCCGGTTTTTGCGTCCACTATAAATCATAAATCGCTTGTGTTTGTTTCTTAATAGTAACGAACATTGTTAAATGTTAACAACGTGGAGAACAACGTGTTTTGTTTATAAAGGAATATCTGTAATAAGAGAGGATATCCGAGCTGGAAGTGTACGTGTATTCGTCTGTTTGATGCACAATAAGAGCGGTGACGTGTAAGCATTTAAACACAAAAAATACTCATTTACTAAAGGTTCTTGTGTTATAGTTAATGTCGATTTTTATATTATTGTGTCATTTACTCGAGGCTGTATGTTCAGTAAGGAACCACAACACTTATAGTGTACGAAGGAAGATTTCAAGATTACGTAATTATACTGGTTTTGTACATTGAAGTCATGACATCCTAAGAATACATTCAAGGAATGTTCATCATTTATCAATTCCAGTTTGTACTGGAAAATAATAAAATTACTGGTTTATCATTTGAAGGATACCGAGGTGATTGAAAGTGTTGCAATGACTGTGAAATTCAGGATGTTATCTTAGCACGTAACAATTTGTTAACCACTTTATCAGTAACTCCCTATATTAGTTACTGTAATCAGGAATTGAAAAAGTAAGTAAACCAATCACCATTCAACTAAACTATTAAAAAAAAAGAAACCCTTATTGGGCCAATAATATAAAAGTACCATAAGGTGCAAGGTAAAATAAGTAGAATATCAAGTCTGTCTACAGTTTTTGAGCGTCTTACTAAACACTGACCACTGCTCCAGTTTTGAGTATATTTAGAAAGAAACCCTACTCAAAAGTTGTTCTTTCAGATACCATGCCCTATTGAATTAAGTGAGTAGACAAGTAGACAAACCAACTGAAAGATTGTGAAGCTTAAGTTTTTGAAAATTGGTGTAAGATGATTCTAAAGATGGATTTCATTCTTTGGTAAGTAGCAACCCACCTTAGTGGTCGCGATAATTAGTGCATTCCACATAATATTAAATACCAAATGATAAAAATTACAACAGTTCTGGAAAAGTAGATCTCAAGATTTAATGGGTACATACAGATCATATATAAAGCTTTATAAAACACTGTTTTATATACGTGGGTAAGACACAAAATGTGCCGCAATTTTTAAAGGATGTCTTTTATTACATCAACGTGACGAGGTACATTAAACATTTATGATATTTTACTTTATAATTTTCTAAATCTAAGCTATGTATAAAAGGGCATTACATTATTTTTTTTATTAACGATTATGATAGAATATAGCATAAAGCATTTCTAATTGTTTTAACTGGATAAATCCTATGTGACTTTATTCGAACAGCGACCATATACCATATGTTTGTTTATAGTTATAATACCATATATATATATATATATATATAAGGTGTTAGGTGTCTAAGCTGACGAACCATAAAAGCTATACCTAGACTATTACTTGACAAAAGTCTGTGTGTCCGTTTATAACTGGCGAGCTACTGGACCGATTGCAATCAAATCTGGCATGTACCCTTAGTGTCCCCCGGGGAACGACATATGAGAAGGGTGGGCGTTTGGTATAATCCTCTAAGTCTTACCTGTGTGTTGAACGAGTGCGACAGCTGGTTGCCAAAAAAATAACGAAAAATATGTTATTTCAAAACATATATATATAACCACTAACACTAATAAACATAATCAATGTCATGGATAATTCTAACTTAAACAAAGACACCAGTATCTACTCTTTACCCTACTTTCCAAAGTCTTTCTAATCTCTTAAAGATTATGATTTTGTCTACGTAAAACACAATATTAATGCAAGGGTTAAATTCAATTTTACTCCTAGCACATAAGTAGTCAGTATTCTATCAAATTCCAAGACAACCATAATAGTAATAATGTTTATGAATACAAATGCCAATACTATACTTCAAGTTACATAAGTGAAACAGATAGAAAACTCAATATCCACATAAACGAGCACAATCATGCACCTTCCCACATCTTTCAACATAAACTCGACTTTCGTCTCAACACATTCTTTTCAGGTAATTTCTAAGGAAAACTACAACTGCATGTTGGATATACAAGGCTGTTTAGTGTAAGAGTTATTAATTAGTTCCTTTAGTGACTAATATTTAATGATTATTTAGTTTTCATAACAAGAGCATTAAAAGTTAATTATTTTAATGAGGATAGTTATGAAAAATTTCGTTACGCAATTCGGTAAAAGTCGAACGTTGTGCCTCTAGTTCAATTGACGTATTGTCGACGTCATCTTTCTCGAAACCTCTAAGTTTTTCTCGCTATTTGAGTATTGTTACATCATAGCGTCTGGTAGTTTGTAGAAAATTATAGGCCTCAGTTAGGCAATATATATATATAGGCGGCCAAGTGAGCGCAAGTTTCACAGTTTAACAAAGATAAGGAGAATAATTTGTCTGGTCAAAGGGTGTTCTAAAGTAATTGAACTTTGACGAAAAGAAGACAATTATTTAAAGCTCTGGATACAACTGTGATAACCAACAGTGATAGTGGTGATTTTTGAAGTGAAGGTTTCACAGATTTTACTGTATGAAACAGAGTAAAGAAGAAGAATTCGTCTTATAAATATTGGAGGTATACCACACTTTGCAAAATTTAAAATTCAAAAACAGCTAAAACGGGATAGAAAAATATATCATTTAAAAACAAGGTTTCGCCACTGTTAACGCTGTTTTTAAATGATATATTCTTTCTATTCCATTTTAGCTGTTTTTGAATTTTAAAGAATTCGTTTTGTCAACTGGGTCCTAAAGTAACTGAACCAGCCTGTTTGAAGTTTTGACAAGAAAGAGAATTATATAAAGCTTTAGATATCACTCTGATAACCAATAGTTAAACGAACTTTTGTACACACGTTTGACTTGTTTTGAATATAGCATTTTAAAACAAGTGGATTGTGTGCTGTTTGTTTATTGTTGACATTTATTACCAACAAGTCACAGACACCTACTGTAAAATAATTCGGCCCCATAAAACATGACACTGCAAAAGAAAAATCAAGGAAGCCTTATTAATGCTTTGCTTTATCTTGTTTGGTATTTTGCTTTATAATTTCCTGACCTTTGGAGTCTGAAAATTACCAGAGATAGTCAGAAAAATTATTTTTTCCATCCCTCTCACGCAGTGTGTAATGCCGTGAAAGCAGCTTTCGGATGTGAAGGCGGGCGTGATAACCTATAGGTCCGGTTGTTGGATTAGAGATGAGCGAAAGTTTTGATTTGGTTTGTTTTGAATTTCGCACAAAGCTACACGAGGGCTATCTACGCTATACATCCCCAATTTAGCAGTGAAAGACTAGAGGGAAGGCAGGTAGTCATCACTACCCACTGCCAATTCTTGGGCTACTCTTTTACCAACGAATAGTGGGGATTGACCGTCACATTATATCGCCTCCACTGCTAAATGGGCAAGCATGTTTGGTGGCACGGGGATTCGAACCCGCGACCTTCAGATTGCGAGTCAAGCGCCCTAATCACCTGGCCTTGCTGGGCCCATGAGCAAAGGCATAGGAGGTTGTCACCTCGTAGGAACCAGTTGGGGGGGGGGGGTAAAATCATATAAAGTTATTGGGAGAGTCCTTATTCCTTATTAATAACACATACAAAACCTTTATAAACAAATATTCTGGATCCTTACTGTTTTTATGTTCACGAATGGTATTTCAACTGCTTTGTGATTGGTTCACTTAAACTATTAAAACTTCAAATGTAACTTTTTAACAAACACTCTTACGTATATGTTGACGATGATAAATAAACTCGTTGGAACGTTGTGATTTGTCTTTTTTCTTATTTTTCATCTTTCCGTATAGCCGTAAAACGACTTTACTTGGTTGCCTTACTGTGGAATCTTTTATTTCTGTACAATACGTTAGTTAATTCATAAAGGATTTAAAACAAGTGATGTTTAAAAACAGGATTTTGAGTTTGTCTTCAGTTCACCACAAGTCATTGATCTAAAAGGCTCTGCGACAATATTTTCCCGTAGCCCTTTTCCTCTCTACCCACAAACCCGTTTTTCACCATTGCATGCGTATGGCAATTTTCTTTCTTTTACTTTCTGCCTATTTCCATGTTATTTAATCATCTAACATCAAATAACATTTTCAACCAATAAAAGATGCAAAAATTAAAATACTTACAGCACGGTTACGGCAATTGGATATCATTTGTTGTGATGGTTAATGTTGGTCTTGTTTTTTGAATTTCGCGCAAAGTTACAGAGGACTGTCTGCGCTAGCCGTCCCTAATTTAGCAGTGTAAGACTAGAGGGAAGGCAGCTAATCATCACCACCCACCGCCAACTCGTGGGCTACTCTTTAACCAACGAATAGTGGGATTGACCGTCACATTATGATGCTCCACGGATGAAAAGGTGAGCATCTTTGGTGGGACGGGGATTCGAACCCACGCCCTCAGATTGCGAGTCAAGAGCTCTAATCACCTGGCCATGCCGGGCCAAGTCGTGGTTAATAGAGTATAAGATCAGCTAAATGTGATAATTAGATTATGATTAATAACTGGTTTTTATTCTACGTTTCGGTTGCAAATAGGCTACTGTTTTCAGGAAAGTCCAAAGAAGGACTATTTCTGTGGTGATAGTGGCCAGGATTCGATTCTAGGTCTTTTCGATAGAAAGACTGGTGTGCTATGGACGAGTACCCTCAGTAAAAGAGAGAACAGCATTTCATTTTGAAACCAAGAAAACAAGAATATTTTTATCCTACATCCAACGTCACTTGTTCATCTTCTTCCGTAAGTTTTGGGTGGCAGTTTTTGTTTCGACACTACATTGCCATTGATTCTTCCTTGATAAGACGGTGGAGTTTCTTATTGATTCTTTACGTATTAGCTTGAGCAGTTTTCAATAAATTATATTTTCTTTATAAGCATCTTGTCTATAAAAGTAATGGTTTCCAAAATAACAATTTGTCCCGTAGCTGAGGAAATAGCATCTTTATGAGGTATTTATCCGAAAATGTTTTGTCTTTCTTTTGTACATAATACGAAATCAACAAATATCAAAAACTTGTTCTCTTCATATCCGATGATTCGGAGTTTTTTTCCATTATAACTGGAAAATAAAGAGTTTTCTATCAAAAAAGTATTTTATTTTTTGCCTAGCGAAACACCTCCGTATACAGAGTAGCAATGTCTTTCAAAATTAGATAAGCCCAGAATAGTAACCTCCTTATATGGAAATACAGTGCTTCATGGAATTATGCTATGGATATGAAGAACAGCCTCTTTATATAGGAAAGTTTGGAAGTACAGCCTTTTAGAAAAGTGTATTTGGATGTGTTTGAAGAAGTAACTTCCGTATATATATGGAAGTTACTTTTAATGTTTGAAGAAGTCACCTCTTCATAAGGAGTCTTTCATATGAGTTACATTGGGTGAGCCTGCAGAAGTAAACTCCTTACATAAAGATGAAGTGCCTTTTAAAAGAGTTGCATTGGGTGGGCTTACAGAAGTAACCTCCTTACATAAAGATGAAGTGTCTTTCAAAAGAGTTGCATTGGATGAACCTGCAGAAGTAAACTCCTTACATAAAGATGAAGTGTCTTTCAAAAGAGTTACATTGGGTGGGCCTGCAGAAGTAACCTCCTTACATAAAGATGAAGTGCCTTTTAAAAGAGTTACATTGGGTGGGCCTACAGAAGTAACCTCCTTACATGAAGATGAAGTGTCTTTCAAAAGAGTTACATTGGATGAACCTGCAGAAGTAAATTCCTTACATAAAGATGAAGTGCGTTTTAAAAGAGTTACATTGGATGAGCCTGCAGAAGTAAACTCCTTACATAAATATGAAGTGCTTTTCAAAAGATTTACATTGGGTGGGCCTGCAGAAGTAACCTCCTTGTTTCGAAAAGTAGGGCTTTTCCAAAGAGTTCCTTTGGATGTGCCTGGAGAAGTGACATTCTTGTATGGAGATGTGGATACCTTCAAAAAAGTTACACAAAGGTGTGTCTGGTGAAGTAACCCCCTTACACGAAGAAACTGTGTCTTTCAAAATAATCGCTTTGGAAGTGTCTAGAGAAATAAAGAAATTGTGCCTTTCAAAATAATCGCTTTGGATGTGCTTGGAGAAGTGACATTCTTACATGAAGAAACTGTGTCTTTCAAAATATCGCTTTGGATGTGCTTGGAGAAATAGCATTTTTACACGAAGAAACTGTGTCTTTCGAAATATCGCTTTGGATGTGCTTGGAGAAATAACATTTTTACACGAAGAAACTGTGTCTTTCAAAATAATCGCTTTGGATTTGCTTGGAGAAATGATATTTTTGTTCAGAGAAGTAGGGATTTTAACCATATTTGCCTTGGTTGTTACTGGAGAACGTACTTCCTTTTATATAGAAGCAGTGTCTCAAAAAAAATTGCTTTAGATGTGTTCAGAGAAATAGCATTCTCATATATATATAGAAGCAGTGATTTTGAAAAGAGTTGTTCTGGATATGTTTGGAGAAGTAACCCCTTATAAAGGAAAGTACAGAAGTACTGACATTCAAAAAATATTTCTTTGGATGCGTCTAAAAAGTGACTTCCGTATATATAGGGAAGTGCCTTTTAAAGAGTTTCTTTTAATGTATGTGTGTGGAGAAGTCATCTTCTAATGTGGAGTCTTCCGAAAGAATTGCTTTGGGTGTGATTGGAGAATTTACTTCCTTTGATAAAGAAGTAGCGTTTGTTTGTAGTAAAGCATCAAGCTACATAATGGGCTATCTGTACTATGCCCACCACGGGTGTTGAGACTTGGGGTTTTTAGCTGAGGGCGAGAAGTAGCGTAATATATCCCAAGAGAACCTCTTTAGATGCGTTAGAGAAATAGTTTCTCGTATGCAGAAGCATAGATTTGAAAAATAATTGCTTGAGATGTGTCAGAATGATTAAACTCCTTGTAAAATGCTATTGAAAAAACTTGATTTTAACGTATCCTTAGAAGTCCCCTCCTTATAAGGAAATACAGAGCCTTAAATAAAAGCTACGTTGGATATTCCTAACGAAGTTATATGAATAGTTATAGTCTTGTTATATAAGTAAGTAGTGCCTTAGAAACGAGTTGCCCTGGGTGTATTAAATAGTTAACAGTTCATGTGGGGATTTCTATATACTTAACTCCTTAAGAATTTATTATCAAAGATGTGAGTAGTAGTTTTGCTTGAGCAGTAATGCAACCGTTAGAAACTATACTTCTGATTTATATCATTTGATTGCGTTAACAAAAAAGTATATGATATGGCATTATTAATATATTAGTAATCTCATTCATATTGATAGTAAAGAAATATTAGATATACATTCTAAGTTTTATCACTCAACTGTTACTTGGAATAAGCGATGTCTTATAAGTACAAGAAATAGATAAAAATGGAAATAGCTGCCCGAAAAAGGTTAAGTATTGCATTTGACAACCCTAACCTTCACAGCAGTACTAATTAAGTTTAGCAATGAAGCAGAAAGATGTTGTACACATTTCAAAAGGTACCGCGTCTTATTTCTCAATAATTTGTTTGTTTTATTTATTGGCTAGCACAAAACTGCATAATGGGGTATTTTTACTGGCCCACAGTGGGCACTAAAACGCGATTTTTTTTGTGTGTGATAAGCTCTTAGACTTATCGCTGAGCCACTAGAGGGCTAATTAAGAATGTCTGAGGAGAAAAATATTGTAGAAGTCTGGTTTAAAATTTACCCTATGATAACACGACGGGACCAGATCTGCGATAGGTAGATTCTTTGATATACTTTTTTTCCTGATTTCAACCTTTTGCTAATTCATATCACTGTTTAACTTGTTTATTTCAGGATTTGAATTGTTGTGTTTTTTCGTTTGTCGTATTTTTAGTATTTGACTATTTGTTCTCGGTTTGGAGTTTCTGTTAATTGGCCTAAAAGATTCAGATGTGTTTTTTTCCTTATTTCTCCCTTATTCATAATCAAGTGTCTTTTTATTCATTTCAGGTGCCAAATAACCATCATACTTTTGATGCTGTCTATGAAAGATTCTGTTTGTGAAATAAACAGTGTCGCCCTTGTACCACATGATATAAATGCATTCGGACGTTCTTCGGGATGTGCTCTTGTCCTGCGAAGAGTATTCGTTGATGGCATTAGAAAATCTTCTGCTCTCCCTTACAAAGGTTTCTTCAATCTGATTGGACCAAAGTAAGGCTCATTTTTATTGTGATAGATGTTCTTAAACAGAATGAGAATAAAACATTTCAAGATGCTATTTGATAAGTTAAGATTTTTAGTTATAGGGCTTTACATGATCACAAAAAATAGTGTTTAATGTTTATGGTTTCTGCAGTTTCATAAACAACAACGGGCCAGCAGAAGAGATCTGTATACGATACATTGATGTCAACTTGGCTTTAGCTGAAGCAAAACGGCGTAAAGGTCAGTGCTTCATTATTATCTCTATAATAACATTTATCTGATACAAGAGCTCAGTTTCACAGAGTAAACATACTTGCTTCATCTTAGAAGAAGACTGATATTTGATCTAAAAAACGTTGCTTTTTAAATATATGTCTTTAATTACTAATGGCTAGCACTAGTTTAGCAGCGGGATCATAACTTTATGTAAAATAAGTTTTCAAAGCAGCATTATGGCGCTAGTGGAGTTACATATTTACTGTTACACTGGCTATGGATACATAACTTATAAAACTTAGCACCTTAAATGAAAATCAATGTTCTCAAGAAATGTATTATAAAGTATCACATTAAAAATAACTTATTAAAGAGATTTTTTTTAAATCTTCTTATCAACAGATATGAACGTATAATGTAAACTTAATGAACATTTGCTTTTTTTGATAGGTGTGTCCGTAGAATAAGACTACATATCTGAAACACTATTGTCAGGCATTCTTGACAGAAGAAAACATATTTACTTAAAGAATAAACAGCTTAAAGGGTGTGCAGCGCGAGGTGAAAACATTAGAGATAGATAGAGCTTAATATGTTTACTAAAATTAATTTTGATGGTAATGGAATATCGTTTTTTCCTTTTTTACAAAGTCTTTCGGTGGGTCAGCGGTAAGTTTCCGGATTTACAATGCTAAAATCTGGATTTTATTCTCCCTTGTAGACACAACGTAAATAGTCTGTTTTGTAGCTTTGCATTAAAAACTTTCTACATCCATATTTTGCAAGGATAATTTTTTGGGTGGAAAGTAAATAAACACGTGTTAGAATCACTTGGATTTACAGGTATGCCTCAGCATGAAATATAACACATTTAAAGTATGTTTAACATCCAGTATAACTGTTCAGATTATTTTTATTCATAAAAACAAGAAAATAGCAAACAAAACCTCTACTTTTAACATGTTTTATTACTCAGATGTTACTTGGAATGAGGGATAACATATATAATCAAGAAACGGGCCCAAAACGGAATTACTTGTCCAAAAAGAGTTCCATATAGCAAATTCGTCATACTTCATAAGCCTGAGAATCACCAGATTTGTTTTTGAACACAAAAGGAACTTTATTTAATGAAAGTATTACGAGAACGGTGAGGCAAAGACAGGTACGAAACACTGATTTGTGACAGTATTCTTCTGCTATAATTGCACTGACACAGCAGAATTTTAGTTAAAAAACTGATATTTGTTTTACAGGAAAGCTACACAATGAGTTATTTGTACACCGCGGGGGATTAAACCCTGAATTTTAGATCATAAACTCAGTTGCCATCAAGACTACCGCTGAATTATAAGAAGAAAGGACTCTCTATACTTTACTTATAGCTGTTACATGATTTTTGCTTAAATAAGGACCTCAAGCAAAGATAAATCCCAAGAAAAGTGACTATTTTTAATTCCAATATTCGTACAAAGCCACACAAGAATTATTTGCGTTAGTCGTCCCTCATTTTTGACCTGATAGACAAGAAGCAGATAGCCAGCAGCAACTGTTGGATTACTATATTAGTGGTATTTGATATATAACGTACTACGGTCTTAAAGTACGGAGCGTGATTTTGGTCTAAGTGGACCCTCAGATCAATAGTCCGGCATGCTAATCATTAACGTAATTCGGTCCATAGACGTGGGAGAAAGTCACTGTGGTAATAGAAAGAGAGTGAGTTGGCAATTTTAAAGGAAATTTGATATTTTTGGCATAAAGAATACAAATAAAGTGGGCCCGGCATGGCCAGGTGGTTAGGACGCTCGACTCGCAATCTGCGGGTCGCGGGTTCGCATCCCCATCCCACCAAACATGCTCGCCCTTTCAGCCGTAGGGGCGTTATAATGTGACGGTCAATCCCACTATTGTTGGTAAAAGAGTAGCCCAAGAGTTGGTGGTGGGTGGTGATGACTAGCTGCCTTCCCTCTAGTCTTACACTGCTAAATTAGGGACGGCTAGCGCAGATAGCTCTCGTGTAGCTTTGCGCGAAATTCAAAACATCATGAACCGTATCAACTAACTACTAGCTATGTTTATTAACATTAAAATGTAGAAAGTTAACTACCACATTGAGTAATACTTTGCCCATAGTTGGGCATAACAAAACCCAGCCAACAAAATATATAAAAAAATGGGAATTTAAACACCTGCAAATAGCGATCGTAAAAAAGAAAGTAAACAGGGCTGGAGATACTGGAGACATTATTTACTCAAACTACAAATCTCTATTTGACTTCATCAAATGAAATTCTAGGTAGCAGCATGGAGCCAAAATAGGGGTTTGTTTGTTTTTAATTATGCACAAAGCTACGCAAGGGCTATCGGGTATCGAAACCCGGTTTCTAGCGTTGTAAGTCCGCAGACATACCGCTGTGCCCCTGGGGGGCCCAAAATAGGGGTTTGAAGTCTGAGTGAATATTGTCTACAGTATTTCCAGTCTTTTTTCTTTAGTCTATTTACGATCTCTATTTGCAGGTTTTTAAATTCCGAATTTTGTATTTATCTTGTAAATCTCCAACTCCCCAGGATAATTTAATTTCGCTAAAGCACTGAAGTGAGGCTATTTACATTTCTTGCGGACATGATTTGTATTCAAAAAATATGTTTTGTTTAATATCTGAAAAACATACCCACCCCATTTCATTGAAAATCGAGGTAAGCGTAGCGAAATTACAATTGCACATAGGCTCAGATAAGGTTAATAACTGTTTTTTACAAGATTTGAAATATTTTCTTGTGTAGGGTGTAAATTTATCTTACATTATTAATTTTCCTTTTTTTTATTAGAAAATGATGAATATTTAAATCACGCACATCATTCTCTCGGCATAATATGACACCCATATAAGTATTGTTGTTTACACTTTGAAAAGAGGATATGTATATGCACAGAGTATTATATAAAAAACGATTTGCATATGCTTAGGTGATGTCTTGCCATAAATGCGAGCCATAGCTTAAGGAGCGACATGTTTATCACCTATAGATTTGGTTCAAGAAAAATTACCCCGAAGTTCTACACAATCGACAATGCAATGCCGCGAGTTTATTTGTTTTGAATTTCGCGCAAAGCTACACGAGGGCTATCTGCGCTAGCCGTCCTTAATTTAGCAATGTAAGATTAGAGGGAAGGCAGCTAGTCATCACCACTCACCGCCAACTCTTGAGCTACTCTTTTACCAACGAATAATGGAATTGACTGTCACATCATAACGCCCCCACGGCTGAAAGGGCGAACATGTTTGGTGGGACGGGGATTCGAACCCGCGACCCTCTGATTGCGAGTCGAGTGCCATGCCGGGCCTACGCGAGATTATTTACAGTTGGAGATAGCTAAATCATGTAGAATTAAAAGGCACAACATTCTCAAGAATGGGTCCTTCAGTGTTTTTCGTAGGGGGTAGAAAAACTTCCGCAGTAAAGCATTAAAGGATTGGAACTGGCTCTTCAACCTGACTCAGAGCAACCTTTCATCTAAGTAGAATACTTTGACCTAAAATCCCATTACAGTGAAGCTGTAGATAGCCTCTGGTACTGTTAAGTAAGAAAAATGATGTGAAGGTAATTAAAGCTTACGAGCCGACATTTCTCAAACTTCCTGTCACAGTTCTAAATCAATAACTTTTTTAGTGAAAAAATAGACTGCCGAGAAAACTGTAATAGCAGCATTTCTATTTGACGGCGTATTGCCAAGTCTTCTGATGTAGCTTCAATGAATTTTTTCGTTTTTGGTATACTTAAGCATGCTCTTGTAGACATAAGACATTAACCGGTTTATGGAAAGTTGCTAGAGAGGAGTATAACAACGCTGACATGATTCTTCTTCGAAGAAGTCTGATCTAACGGATACTTTATAGCAGAGCCATTGTTAAGAAACAGGTAAAATAGATAGAGCATGATCGCCGAGGAAAATACGTTACTACTCGTATATATGCTGAGCTTAACCATATTTTTCAGAAAGCATAAACAATTTTCCGTATGTGCTTGTTTGTTTCGGATATTCTCGCATCGCGAAAAGCTAGATAGAGGGTTATCTGCGCTAGACTAGAGAGATAATCAACAGCAACTACCGCCAACTCATAGACTACTCTAATCGAACAATATAATTTGGTCATCCACATATTACACATCCACAGCCTCAAAGAACAAGACGATTTTGCAGCAACGTGACGCGAACCATGGACGTTGGAATTCACACACCAGCGTACGTGCGATATTGTTAATGAATCGACCTTAATTATGAAGTATATTTTCAATAGAAGTAAATATAACTATCAGTCTGAAAGTCTATTTTATTTCTCTTTCTCTCTCTCTATATATATTCATTATATACTTTTTCAGGCTACAGGCCACCTCGGACTCTAAACTCACTAGAGCCACATCCAAAAGATATTGGCATCACAGGGGAAGTAGTACTGGAGACTACCCGAATTTTGGCAGAACAGTAAGGTTCTTCGTACATATGCATATACTAGTAAACTCTAACTTTTTTCTAAGATATCTAAAGTTTAAAAAAGAAGTATTTGTTTCTATTAAACCACTATTTTCTAACAAGACTCAAGCTGCTACTAAAACATCGCACTACGACATAAAACAAGCTTCTTCAAATCACTGAATTCTAACAACGGTTTCTATTAAATCACTATATTATAATAAGCCCATATTTCATCCAAATTACTAAAGTGTATTAGGGATATGTTTCTATTAACTCAACGTTTCTTATAAATCACAGCAAAATAAAACTTTCTTTTTCAAAACTTGTACTAGAACAAAATAGTTTTGTTTTATCCCACCAGATTTTAAATTTAACTTCAGTTTCTTTTTAGTAAACATATAAGCAGTCGTAAAACAAAGGGTTCTTGTGGAAAATAAACATGTGATGTTTTATAGATAGGTATGGTCATACCTTTAGTAGCTATCCACACTCTGAATTCTTCTGACCATAGCATACCTTCAGTAGCTATCCACACTCTGAATTCTTCTGACCATAGCATACCTGTAGTAGCTATCCACACTCTGAATTCTTCTGACCATAGCATACCTTCAGTAGCTATCCACACTCTGAATTCTTCTGACCATAGCATACCTTCAGTAGCTATCCACACTCTGAATTCTTCTGACTATAGCATACCTTCAGTAGCTATCCACACTCTGAATTCTTCTGACCATAGCATACCTGCAGTAGCTATCCACACTCTGAATTCTTCTGACCATAGCATACCTGCAGTAGCTATTCATACTGTGATTTCTCCTGACCATAGCATACCTGCAATAACTACCCGCACTGTGAATTCTTCATATGGGTGTCATGTGATTTAAAGTTGTTACCCTACGCAGAATTATAATAAACAGATAAAAAATAGACACTAAAGTATTGTTTCCTAAATATATCTTTAAGACACACTTTATATCTGTAATGACAGTAATGATACTGCTGAAAAAAAAGCTCATCAACTGTCACAAATTCTATTTATTTACCAATAAGTAAAAATTTCACCTTCCATTTTATATTTCCTTTTCTTGTAGATTTCAGTTGACACGTGATGAAATAATCAATGGTCTTCCTATAATTGACACTTCTCGTACTGACATCTGGGAAATATGCCCCGCCCACGTAAAACCTGTTCCATGCACTATTGAAAGATTTCGATCATTCACAGGGATCTGTAATAACATCCAACATTCCAGCTGGGGATCAACACATACCCCTTTTGTTCGATTCCTCCCCCCAGCTCATCCTGATGGTATGTATAGCATTCCACGCCACAAAGGTGTTCAAACAGTAATATGTAAAAACAACAAGACTTCAAAGGTAAAAGTGTAGTTATAAAGCACGATAAGACAAAGAGTGTTTTAAAACAGGTTTTCCTGAATTAACTAGATTCAGGATTATAGTAAATAAAATCATTATAGTATAAGGACTATACCCGGTATTTTTTGAGTAGGCAGGTTACTTTGACGAAAGTTTTCCGTCGTTACTAATGACCACCAAAAGTTAACAGTGGTATATGATGAAAAGTTTTGACTAAATAAATTTGTTTATAATCCAGCCAGCATATATACTTCTGGTGGGTAGTTAGGGCATTACTTCAGACACCACTCGCTGATTAGCCGATTAGATGAGGGGTTGAGACGATGATGTCATATGTAGTTCTAAGAAGTGGAACCAGAGGGCAAGCTTCTACGCCGCCATGACATTTGACCAGCAGATGTTGTCTTCTGCCAGAAGGCGTGTTGCGATGATGAGCATGCAGATAGTTGATGAGCAAACCACCACAGGATTATGTAGAGCAATGTGGCATCAATCTTATAGTAACAATCAAAGTCTTAAAATTAACAATTTAATCTAATTTACATAACGCTGTTATACAATTTTTCTTTATAAGTAAAACATTAAATCTGCTATTTTAATCTTATCAACTTCTTAATCTTGACTTGTATTACATATGTTTTACAAAGGCTGACAATGCTTCCATGGACAGATGGTACTATTATTACAAGAGCTAACTAAAATTCTATTGGCGGGTGGTCTTACGAGGAATATTGTATGTTTTTTACAAAGGCAAATGGTGTTTCTATACATAGACATTGTATATATTTAATTGTATTGCATATGTTTTATAAAGACTGACTATTCTTCTATGGGCAGATAATGTTTATATTACAAGGTCCATGCAAGAGGACAGTGTTAGTATACTTCTGTAGGATTGGATACAGGCTTTAATTTCTTTCAACTTATGTTTATAGTTTTAATTTATACAAAGGTGAATTGCATTACTAAGTGCAATGTTTCTATAGATGCATTGTGTTACTAAGGTACTGTTTGTATAGGCGGAAGATATTTCTATAAACTGATAGTTCAATAGTCTCAACATGAGATTTATACATTTTCTAATGTTTTATATGTAAAACACTTATCACTAATTCATTTATACTATAGTTTTCATTTCTATATCTATTATATAACATCTGTTCATCCTGAAAAGGACACTTATTGAAATATCTAAATAACACAATAATTTTCATGTTTAGCTTTATAAGTTGATGTACTTCACTGAGGTTTAATTTTAAAGTATGTGTGTAAATAACTAAGTTTAACCATTATAGAAAATTATATTCTTACCTTTCTGTAGATATTTTGATTTTGAAATGTAAATGGGCTACTACATATAGGTGTTCTTTCTGTTTCTATCTGAGGTTACTAACATTGAATGCAAACGATATAAAGGACAACACATACATTCACCAAATGGTGTGATCACTTCACACTTCACCCCTATTGGATATTTCGACTGACTTACAGTTGATGGTATGTCGACCTTTTACTAAGAGAGGAGGCTGATAAAACTGAAAGTTCAATATGGCAGAAAAGATGTTATAAACATAAAAGCTGAACAACACCATTATAATAGATTATGTATGTCACTACTTATGATTATGCATTCATTAGTAGGATATAAATCTCAATCATATGTTTATATTATACTTAATTTGAAAATAAATCGTTCAAACTCTACATAATCAAATATTTTCTGCATAAATTCAAAAACAGTAGATTATAAATGTAATGTTCACCATACTTTAATTTAACTAATGCTGCAGGATAAGTAGTTAGCACACAGAATCACCTACAAAAGTTGTAATATTTTCAAAACGAGACCCAAACTCGAGCGCTTTCGAATAGTTGATTATTCTTCTTCATGAGAATCAAAATATATTCGTTAATAATGTAGCTCAATATATAGGAAATCAAACCAATATATATAGAAATTTAAGGAAGAATAATACTAATAATGTAAAGTAAGTTTAATCATGAATTTAGTTTGGAAAATCTTTTCAGAGACTTGCGAAGGTCAACAATCTTGGTATCGAGATTGATATCATTTGGCGTTACAGTATTTAACAGTGCTATCCAATAAGCTTCTTTAATTTCACTGTTTCTGTTAGATGTAAAATTTGTCTTTAGACCCGTCAGTTTATTGTCTTCAAGAGAGAGTGTCCAGGCATGTTAAAGTGTTTTGCGACCGGAAGTTCTTTGTTTGTTTTGATTGTTGATTTATGCTTATTAAAACGTTCCCGTATAGTTGTTTTGGTTTGACCTACATATTGGAAATTGCATTTTCGACATTGGATTAAGTAAGTAACATTTTTTTGTGTAGAGCAGGTTATGGAATTAGTGATTTTGAACTGCTTTTGCTTGTCTTTATTGGAAAATTAGTCCGTTTCCTGTATGAACCCAGAGGTTTGACATCGCTTGCTATTGCAAGGTTGACTTCAACCTAGTGTTGGCTTTAAGTTTACTTTAGCGTAAATTAAGTGTGAATGCAAAGCTTTATTCTTTCTGAAAGAAACGACAGGAGCTTCCGTAAAAATGGATTTTAATCGATCATTAAGTTGAAGGAGGTAAAAGTGTTTCTTTAGTATCCCGGGTAGGTTTTTTAGTTTTGGGTGATAGGTAATAATCAGTAAAACCAATTCTTCTCGTGTTCCGGGAGTCTTAGAGACGAAACCTTTGGAAAACTACACAGACATACCAAAGTTTTGGAGACGCTACATTGATGACATGATTTTCATTTGGGTAGGAGATGAAGATTCATTACTGTCCTTTTATAGACATGCTAACACCTTTCACAGCTCTATTACATTTACTCTAGACTACTCCACTACCCAAATATGTTTCTTGGATGTAAACCTAACATTAAAAGATGGTGTTCTACATATTGATTTGTACCGAAAACCAACGGATAAACCACAATATTTACATAATCAAAGCTGTCACCCTCCACACACCAAACGCAATATCACATTCAATCAAGCACTTAGATTAAAGAAGATATGCTCTGATAGTAACAACTATGACCATCGCATTAATTCTTTGAAACAGACTATGACTGAAATAGGTTATAAACAAAACACTATCATCCAACAAGTTGAAAAAACTAACAATATACCACGTACATCTGCCTTGAAACAATTACCTTTATTAGTTGATAAACGTTCCTGAGTTTGTTTGTTTGTTTTGAATTTCGCGCAAAGCTACACGAGGGCTATATGCGCTAGCCGTCCCTGATTTAGCAGTGTAAGACTAGAGGGAAGGCAGCTAGTCATCACCACCCACCGCCAACTCTTGGGCTACTCTTTTACCAACGAATAGTGGGATTGACCGCCACGTTATAATGCCCCCACGGCTGAAAGGGCGAGCATGTTTGGTGTGACGGGGATTCGAACCCGCGACCCTCAGATTGCGAGTAGAGTGCCTTAACCACTTGGCCATGCCGGGCCACGTTCCTGAGAAAATTGCTCTAGACTTTAATATCGGATTGAATTTTGCTACGCTTACTTTGATATTGAAGAGTACAAATGACTTCAACAACATTAAGAATGAATGGAAAATTTAGATGTTTCAAAAAACTTCTCTCTCACATCTACCTTTTTATAATAAAAATGAATTTCTAATTAATACACCATAAAAATGAATTACAAAATTGATTTAAAAGTTTAAAGTTTCACCTATTTACTAAAACTAGTCAAAAGCATGGCCTTTAGTTTAATCAAAACTTAAATTCATAACATGTAAACATTTCTAAAGATTACTAAAAAAATCAAATTTAAAGTAAAATATACTTAAGTATATTAAGTATATATATATATATAAGTATATATTAAATATACTTGCCAAATTTAAAAACTCATTTTTCGTAATCCGTATAAAGTGAAGAGGAAAAAAATTAACATGACGCCATTTTATTACCGGCCATGTTCACATATGGACGTTTACTGTTTTTTAGTGGAAAGCATATTTATGGATGAAAAGCAGTTCTAAGTAGAATTTGGCATCTCACACTGGTTGCTGAATATATGTTTTATTTCAATAATGTAGCCATTATTAAGTATTTATAGTAGAAGGAAGTTATCAAATATTGAACGTAATAAAGTATAAACTTGATACTAGGCAATGCAACTTTACTAAGTTATTACTTCACAATCATAGCATAATTGATCAGTAATAACAGTGGGGTTGTGATTGTGGTCTTTACTGAATAAACCCAAAAGTAATTTATGCTTTTGAGAAAAATAAATTAAATAATATTGGAAATAGGAAAACCATTATATTGTGTATTTGAATTCAATCAAAAATTAGTCAAAGTCATTATTAATATTATCTGCAAAAATGAGAATTTTCATTGAAACAAATACAAAATTTAATTATATATATATATATTTACTTCTATTATTTTTAATCATTCTTATATATGTTGTTGAATAGTATAATTACTTTCTTCTGTGAAAATACTGCTGAGTTCACATTGTTTGACCTACTCATTTTTAGCAAAGGAATAAATCGCCACCTAATCTGTACAGTTAATACCCCTACTTCCAAACACAGAAAATAGTGTATTCGCTAGAGGTTGATTTTAAATATCTGTCCATCAATCGCATTTCAGAAACAGCAATGGGAATTCACCTTGGAGCACAAAGAAACAAAGAATCTGACTATGTTCAAGCAATGCACAAGTAAGTCCAGATTTGGAAATATTATTTGTATATTGTGTGGTATGGTGTTAAGATATTTAGAAATAAAGTCGTTCTAGGTGTGACCTTTTTTAAAGTTATGTTGATGTTAATACAAAGAAACACTAATAATTAAATGTTGATCAGCACATCAAAGTTATCCCCCACGTTTGACGTCGTACGTTAAAGACACAACACATTTTCTAAACATGATCTCTGACATTAACAGCAA